GAGCCAATCACGCGCCAGTCTGGGGGTTTAGGGTGGGATATCCGGGTTTGACGAAAGCAAGAAGTGCCGGGCCGAAGCAAAACAAACATGGCTACGCAGGAGGACGGACGCAAAGTCAGTTTTAGCAGAATCTCCAATTTCTGTTTTGAAAGATGAACAGCGAGAGGCGCTTTGTACATTTCTGGACGGCAACCTTGGTAGTCGGGCACACAGCGTCACTTCGCCCAATCAGCTTCAAGTATTCTGCTGCTTACACCTCCTTTCCCCGAAAGGATTCTCCGGGAGAAATCCCAGATTGATATCGCGGAGAACGCGTTAGAGTTCTACACAATCATCAATCTGGCTTTTGCCAGGTTAGCCATACAGTCCCCCAACCACAAGAAGTGACATCAGGTCCAAAGAAAATGGGGGAATGTGGAAATGTGTTTGGTTATCAAATGTCCAGAGATCTGGTGTTAAAAGCAAAACCCAGCACTTGTGTGTAGTGGTTACAGGTATTGTACATACGCATTGTGGGTTTGCCAAATGTCTTGCCCTCTCTTATTTAAAATCGAAACATGTCCCTATTATACATACCCTACAATTGCCTGTTCCACACTCCCCATTCCTCCCTCGTCTTCCATTAAGCCCTTTTTGTTTGCTCTCTTGCCTCAAATGTCTCCTCCTCCTCCTTCTTCCTACCTCCTAGCCCCTAACTCTAGCTCCTAGCCGCTAGCACTTGTATCCTCCTCGACGTCTTGTTTAAATTGTGTCATTAGTGTCCTTTAGGCCCCCGCTGGCTTGTCCCGGGCCTCACCCCATTCACTCCCTTGTTTTATAATTCACCTTTCATCTTCCCTCCCCTCCCTAATATCCCCAGCCCCCTCACCACAGCCCTCACCTGTGCTCTTTGAGTCGTTTAGACCTCATTCTCTCCATCTCTCCACTCACTCCGTCCTTCCTTTTTTGCTGTATAATGTCTTTTTCCGTGCCATCCGCTTCTAATGTCCCACTGTCTCACTGCCTTTAGATATTGCTGCTATGAAGACAGGTGTTCAAAAGAGAGCTGCTGCTGCAAATCTGTTTTAAATGCCTTTTGGCGGAGTTCCCTCGAACGCACGCTGGAGAAAAGAGAGAAAGTTATATGAAGAAAAAATGAGAGAATGAGAAGCAGTGAAATAAAAGGTACATTTCAGAGTCAGGTTTTGGCAACATCACGAGTCTTGGTAGGAGTTTTCTGAGCAGTTTCCTTCCAGTTTATCAATGTTGTATAGTCGTAGATGGATAGTCGTTCAATTCAATGTATTCATGTACAGCCTTAAATCAAAACAGTGGTTATCTCAGAGGACTTTTGATTTGCCAACACAGATCAGAGAATCAATTAGTTTAAATACAAGCAATGCAATGATAAAGAACACACAGAGCCATTGATTCATAAGGGACTGATGACCAATGTCCATAAATGTCCATAATTGACAGTGAATGCAGACTGTCCTGGATCATCAAGTGTCCAACATAACTGAAGATAGTGAGCGGTTTCCTTAGTTTGTCACTAGTGTAAAGTCATAGATATTGTATATAACCTGTCCCCCCGCCCTTTATAAAGTCACTTTACTGCCCATCATACGTCACTTTACTTCACTGTACTGCTGTCACCTTACATTGTGTGCACCATATGCACTTGTATATTGTAAATAGTAACTGTAACTCTATTTTAAATTTAAATTTATTCCTTAGAAGTGTTTTTTAGTCTTTATTTTTATTCTCTATTTTTATTATCTCTTTCTGACTGTTGAACTGAGCCAAAGCAATTTCCAAGTCTGTGACTTCCTGTTACTTACATGACAATAAAAATGATTCTGATTCTGATATATTACGATTTCATGCCATATAAACTATAAGGCAAGGCAAGTTTATTTATATAGCACAATTCATACACAAGGCAATTCAAAGTGCTGAACAAAACAAGAAAGCATTAAAATCATAAATTATCACAGAACATTAAAAAGAAAGATAAAAATATAAAATCCCTCAGTTGTATGCACAGTTAAACAGAACTGTCTTTAACCTGGTTTTAAACATTGTCAGAGAGGAGGCCTGTCTCACATCTTCAGGAAGATTGTTCCAGATTTTAGCAGCATGAATCTGAAAAGCAGCCTCCCCATGTTTAGTTCTGACTCTGGGCACTAACAGGAGTCCAGTCCCTGTGCTCCTCAGAGTCCGGGCTGGTTCATATGGGACTAACATGTCACTAATATATTTTGGTGCGAGGCCATGGAGAGACTTGTACACAAGCAGAGCTGTTTTAAAGTCTATTCTCTGAGCCACAGGAAGCCAGTGCAGAGACCTCAGGACTGGACTAATGTGGTCGTACTTCCTGGTTCTAGTCAGGACTCGAGCTGCTGCATTTTGAATGTACTGCAGCTGTTTTACAGCCTGTTTGGACAGACCTGTGAGCAGGCCATTGCAGTAGACTAACCTACTGGAGACAAATGCATGGATAAGAATCTCCAGGTCTGCTTTAGACACTATGTTTTTGATCCTGGCAATGTTTTTTAGATGGTAAAAAGCTGCTGATGTTACTGATTTGATGTGGCTATTCAAATTTAAGTCTGAGTCCAGTATTACCCCTAGATTTCTGACCTTGTTTGAAGGTTTTAGGGAGAGAGACTGTAGGTGACAGATGACGCTCTCTCTTTGTTTCTGGGGACCAAAGACAATCATTTCAGTTTTGTCTGCGTTTAGCCGAAGGCCACCCTTCAGAAACATACACTTTTTTTAGTGAAAGATGGGATACCTGATTTGTTTTCACTGGCCGAAGGTAGGTATGTTAATCCGTGTAATCCTTGCGGAAGAGAGACGGCTTAAATCTCACGAGCAGCTGCTTTGACAGGCGCCAAGTCTGTCCAATCACAGAACTGCTTTCTTGGAGTACCTAAAGTTGTTTTTTTTTTACTGCTGACATAGCCTGGTCTTACCATACCAGAAATTTCATAACGTACTAAGGTCTGGTTTGTCTCCATTGAGCACCGTTAAGGTGGGAGGGGTCAATTTCTCTTGTAGATTGAATAGATTGGATCTGAGTTTACCGTGACATATGTAATGCGCCCGAGTGAGTGAGGCATTTAGCATTTAGCCTAGCTTTAGCCGTCTCCTTTGCCACTAACGGAGCCTGTGGGGAGTAGACCCACAACATCTTTGCAGCAATGACATTTGCTTAACATTCCTCTTGCTCCGACTTCAATTTCTTCATATTTGGAGCCGAAACAGAACGACTTACTTCACTATTGCATTCTCCATCATTCATAAACTACAGCTTGCTAATTTTGCGCAAACTCTTGACGCCACTGACACCTACCTACAACACCCGCCTCCCCCTCTTGCTGAATGGTTGGAGGGGATTCAACCAAGAAAACTGCAGCCACTAGGATCAGACCCAGACATACAGTACATGTAGGAACTGATCATGGACCAGAGTTAACCCTTACCACTTGTTAAGATTTATTGAAAAAAACAAAAAATAATAACAAGTAATATTATCTTGTGTATCTTCAGCTGCATGAGCAAAAAAGTCAAAAGAAAAAAAAAACGGTGTGATTAGATAAATACTGAAATAAAGTGAACTACGGCAGTCTATTCGCTTTTTGCGGTGTGTCTTTGGTCTTACGTAGACAGACCCTGTGGAGATAACAGACATTCAGCAGCAGAGCAACCCCCGGAATTCCCCTTTTAAACATCCCAGGATAATCTACGAAGCACGGAAGAGAAAGACGCATTTGCAGAGCTCTCCAGAAATTAGGGAAATTCAACCATCAGCAGCTTTAGCATTTCTGTCCTCACGCTCAAATCCCGCTCCGTGGTATATCCGTGAGTGCGTGTGTGTGCCAGTTTACTCCATCCTGTTTTGGTGTAACCTAATCTGCCTCGAAGACCACCTAAAAGAGAAAACCAACTCCTAAATCAAAATAACGGGCCTTTGTTGACGCTAAATTAGCCCCGGACTCAACACAAACACAGGAATGAAAGGTGGCAGCTGCTGACGTATTCTGACGATTATTTTACATAGACCTGTCCAGTTGTTGTTCCAAAAGCAAAACTCTAGACCACCTTCCACGGTTCTCACAGGACGTGGACAAATATATTCAGTCGTGCGTGCGATTAAACGTGAGGAGGCATACGATTCCAGAATTAACTTTGATTGGGCGTTGTATTTTACATTTGCATCCATTGTTTTCTTCGGCCTGCTCCAACAAATGACAGATCTGTACATGTGTGTAGATTTGTCATTTGTTTTCGGTGTAGATAGTGTACACAGCAAAACGTGACAAAATATAAGTAATAAACGCTTCAATCAAGTCGTTCTGATCTTCAATTGAGTAGATTTTGACTTTCTTAAAACTAGATTTGCCATTGGGACAAAGCCATTTAGTCTCATTCTTTTCAAGACTTTTCTCGAATTTGGATTTCTACTTGTCCCAAATGCAAATCTTGTTTTTAGACAGTCAAATTAAGATAAAAAACACTTGATTCAAGCATTTATTACTTAACATTTTATCATTTCTTTCAGTGCTAATATAACTTCTGTTCAGCTCAAAAATAAATTAAAGGAAATTAATTTGATTTTTGGACACTCAAAGCTGTTTCTCATGGCATGACATTGAGATAGAAAAAAAATGGCGGCGTGTGCATTTAGAATGTAGGTAAAATGACCACAAAGAGACTCAATATTTACAGTATATGTTTGGACACCCCTGGTATAGACTGTAAAATGACCTTTTTGCACATTGAACAGTAGCTAGAATCTTCAGAAAAATGCATTTGAGCTTTCTCCAGACTTCATTCCAGCCCAAACAAACAAAAGTCTTTCCATGTCTCCTCCATCCCACCACTGTTCCATGTTCACGATCACTTCACTATCTATAACATATCCACATGATGTAGTCATTCTCAGGTCACGTTACTGCGCCCCAGCTTCTCCGCAATCAACCCATGTGTTGTAAACATGTGTTTCTGTGTTCCAGATGGGAGGCAGAGACCCCCGCATGGCCCCGCGATATGAAGAAGTGGAGCGACAGTACGCCTCGCTGCCCAGGTAAGCACTTTATGCCTGTGGTACAAATGGTTCTCTTAGAATTGGTTGGAACCTGGTCTTGTCCAGTTTTGTGTCTTGGATCAGTCTTGAGAGTTCCCTTAGGGGTATCAAACGCATGGTCAGGGGCCGAATTAAAAAATAGGAACTTGTTGGGGGCCAAAAGAATAGAAAGTGTTCTTTTTCTTATGTTTTTCATTCCATTATGAAGGTATTTTGACATGACTTTTATTTAACATATTTTTCACAATTAGTTTCAGGATGGTTTTTTTTCTGAATACAAAATGTGTTCAGATTTAACTAAAAGTGGACCAAATATAAAATTAAAGATATTGTTATATATTTAAGTTCTACAAATTTTAATCAATAAATACATTTCAGTCGTTTTCCTGATCAAATAGATGATGTATAACACGTTTTGGTCGTGTTAATAATAATAATATAGATTAGTAATTAGTAAATATTAATAGTAATTAGTAAATAGTCCAGATTTGCCCATGATGCTGAGGTTGACCTGTCTGCATTAGCATACATATAGATGGATGCTGACCCAGTAGCTGAATGAAGCCCAGTTGGGAAGTGTTTTAACTTGCCCTGGCTCCTATTAACTTACATTGAAAAGTAAATTTTTGGCTTTCGGACTCCATCTGATCGGAACCTTAACTATATACAGTGTTATATAGTATACTTGCTCCTTATTATGCGTAAGTCAGGAGTTTTTGTTCGTAAGTCTTGCTTCTTCATTATGCTAAAGTCAGAGATTTTAGACCTCTTTTATTATTAGGCTAAAGATAGACATGTTATACTGCTTTTTATGCTAGAGTTAGAGATTTTATTCTATTTTAGATTGTATTTTATGTTATTTTAATATAGTTTTTGTTCATTTCTTTTGCTGTGTGCTCCTCATTCCTACTGTCTGTAACTTGTGATGCAACACTGAAACCTCCCCAATGTGGGATATCAGGAGTACAATGGTAAAAAAAATCCATTTAGCGTCAAAGACAAAACAAATCATGGCGTTATAGTAAATGCAACAAATCTAGTGTGCACTGGGACCACTTTGCTACTTTTAAATAATGAAAAACGAAACGATTTTTCTCAAAATTAAATGCATATTTAAACAACAGAGGTCCCTGCATATACCAACCACAGCAACAGCTTGAGAAACATTACAAAAGACGAATTATCTACATTAAAAGCAGGCAACCTAAGGACACAACCATACAAATACATCTCTGTGAGTTTTCTTTCTCCCAATGAAATATCACCAACATTAGACATTACTCTTACAGACTTTATGCCAAGGATTTTTTAATTTCCCTCCATCCATTCTGGAGGCTTTTACCCCTGGACTGTTGAATATATATTTACATAACCTAAAGCATATTTAAAGCTGTGTCTTCCGTGTTGTGTGGCTGAGTATTTCTGCTCAAATGTATCCCAGCTGCAGGTCTGCTGTATCATCAGTCACTCCTGTCCATCCTTCAGCAACTCATTTTTCAGTAGGAACTTCCACTACTGAAAACACCGGCGCGTCTTCATCATCACTTTCTTGTTTTCACTTTGAAGCTTAATTTTGCCGCTTTTGGTTCTTTGGCATGTAACTTTGACATCTTATTCAGTTTTTTCCGGTCTCTCTCTGGTCTCTCTCTGATCTGTCTCTGGTCTCTCTGTGGTCTTTCTCAGGTCCCTCTCAGGTCGCTCTCTCCGATCTGTCTCTGGTCTCTGTGGTCTTTCTCAGGTCTCTCTTTGGTCCCTCTCTCTGGTCTCACAGCTCACAGTCCTCTTGTGACTGTGATGTCACCGAAACTCACAGTCACAGAACAAACAAGAGGCTTTGTCTTTGTGCTAATAGTTTACTGCGAGATTACTAAATTATGAGATTGTTGGTCGATACCAAAGTCAAACAAAGCTGTTATGCTTTTGGAATCTGATAATCTGAATAATCAGGTTGCAAAGGGACAAGTCACATGCAGTTCTGGAAAGTTCCTGGTAAATTTCCATGGCAAGTAAAGCCGGGGTATATTCAATATTGGAAACATTCCGTGGAAATTTAGGGTATTTCACTGGGAATTATTTGTAATCATATTTATACTTGTATATTCAAGCATAAATATAAGGCAAGGCAAGTTTATTTGTATAGCACAATTCATACACAAGGCAACTCAAAGTGCTGAACAAGATAGCATTAAAAGTACTTTCCCCATAAATGGCAATATAGACATTAGTCATAAGAAAACATTTGTAAGTCCTCATAATATCATCACAATTTACTTCACTGTCTTAATAGTCATGCAGTAAGCAAAGTGCCATGTGCTTGTGATTGAGGAATGACATGGGTATTCAAGTGTATTTGAATGGCATCTGTTAGTTTTAGTCAAGATTATGCTGAAATATACTCTCCTCAATACTTTTAAGTTCCCCATAAAGCTTCGGTTCATAAAATTCCCAGTTAACTCTTGTTAATTCCCTTAAATCTTTGTTCAATTTTCTACAATAATTCCCATGGAAAGTTTCCATCTTTAAAAAAATGTGTCATTTTGCAACCTTGTCATTTAGGCTAAAAGTTAAAGTTTTAATATGTCTTCTTTAAGATTCTACCATATTGGTGAATGTGGCAAAAGAACCTATCCCTTGCGTTTCCATTAGCCGTTAGCTCGTGGCTAACTGTTGCTCCTTCACCTCAAAGCAGAGTTAACAAGCAGATTGCAAATGTTTGTGTTGTTTTAGCCTGAGGAGGAGCGGCAGAAGTTTAAGATGTTAGAGAGTTTTATAGGGGGCTTTTCTCTCATCAGTGGAAGTGGAAAAGGATGGTTATTTCACACCTCTTCAAGTATTAAGAGAAAGCGGTAAATGACTTTGGCAGATGGGAGTGAGGAAAATCCCTTACTTTCATGCTGACTCATATTTGACGATGTTATTAGCGTGATAGAGCTATCTTACTGGGCTATTTATACTGAGAGACTGCTCCCTGGAATCCAAGCAATGTGTTTTCAATGGGAAAAGTTTTGCGGTGAAATCATAGAATGTATATTAGCAGCGGACTGACATCAGAGCTTTAGCCGTAATGTGGAATAAGCTGATTTGAACACAAGCTAGCTGCAGCCAATTTCCTTATGTGGGTATTTGTTCCGATGCTTCGTACCATAACTGAGGCAGATTTGTTGCTAAGACGGTTGCTAAAACAAGCCTGAGTTTCCAATCCTTATTTGGCTCAAATCTGGATTTACAAAAACAATATCAAAAGAGCGCTAAACCAGCCCAAAATGGTGAGTGCGAGACATACAGTTATTGAGCTAGAAGAGTTTACTTTTTAATGTAAAGCCTGGTTCACACGAGACGATTTTAAAATTGTCGGCCGATTTTTCTCTGTGTGAGACCCCACACAGGGAGATAAAAAATCACGGGTCTAACCACTTTGGTCGTACAGTGTGTGGTGCGCAGCCACACGGCAAGAATCACGCAAACCACACACGAACCGATTCCCCCCCCCCCCCCGAGTATTCACAGATCAGACAGAAATCTCAGGTCTCGCGAGGTCAAGCGTGACTTCAGAGTAAACACACATGGCGGACGAAGAGGATGCATTGGCGATAGTTTGTTTTTATCGGAGAAAAGACGTAATCAAAAGAAAAGGCGATGGTCAAAGAAGTGTAGACAACACGAGCATGGACTATACTTGCTACATCGTGATATGGAGGCGTTTCCTCACCGCCTCGTCTCGTCTTCTGATTGGCTACACGCCGCAGTCATGGCAACGCGCACGTCTGTCCTCGGGGGACACCACACACGGAGAGAAATCGGGCCAAAACAATCCAACATGTTGGATATCCCCGATTTGAGATCGGGAGCAGTCCCGATGTCCTTCCGAGCGACGAGTGCAGTCTTAACACACCACACACGGCAGGATAATCTGTAAGATTTTGTTACGGAAATCGGAGCGTTTCTTAAGATTGTCGTAAGGGGTAAATCGGGTCTAAATCAGCCTAAATATCCTGCCGTGTGAACCAGGCTTTAGTCAATAGGAGCCAGAGCGAGTTGGAGCAAAACTTTGTCCATGAACACTTCCCTATTGGGCTTCATTGAGCTTGGGGCTTAGCATTGTCCATCTATTTCGACTCTATGTCTCGAGAGTTGGCCGTCATTTTAATATTGTGCTTGTTAGGAGTGACTGCAAGTTTAAAAGAAGTCAAACCGCATTGGACCTGACGATAAAGACGGTCCAACTCTATAAAACGGTGCTTCTCAAAGTGGGGTCCGAGGCCTCAGAGCCACTTCAGGCGTGGTGGCAAGGGTTGTCCATTCAACACTCATTTGTAAAGTAAAGTACAAATTCATTTGGTTGAAATTACTCCAAATACAGATTCAAACAACCAGAATAGAAATAAAAAAATCAGAAAAAACCTGACACATTCTTCCAAATAAAGGGTGAATTGTAAGTGGCAAGCTCCCAAGAGATGTTCGGTTGATGTGAGAAACAGCAGGGGACCAGATTTTTGGAACAGCTACAATAGAGTAACTATTATCCTGATGGGTCTGTGATAAAGTGGTTTTTATGATTGCTTCTGCACATGATTTGGTTTTCATCAAAAGTGGAAAAATATACAAGTTAGAGGGGAAAGACCTACCATGACATCACACTATGGAGACACTTTTCATCATACATACATATTTTTCCTCTAAAATACTGCAGCTACAGAATGTCCTCTGAGTGTCACTTTAGTTACTTATTACCCTGTATTTGCACTATATAGAGATTTGTTTGAAAGATTGATATTGAAACATTCTCAACTAAGAAACATAGCAGCTACTTATTTTGTACACTTGGTGTGCTCCCTGTGTCGTCTCTACGGTCCTGTATGTGCGCTGCAACACTGAAATTTCCCCACTGTGGAACGAATACAGGATCTCTTATCAATCTAATCTTAAAATTAAATAATAATAAATATAATCAAAAAATGCAATCTGTGGTTTGAAGTTAGTGTGTTGTCGTATTTTTGCAA